ATGGTTTATCAGATATAGACAGCATTGCATTATCATTTGTGTTGGACATTATCAGTGAACTAAATAAAGAGGAAGCCAGAGAGGTACAACACAAATGGTCTGAGTGAGTATCAAGACAAAGAATTCGCTAAAACGTTTATCAGGAATCATCCGCGAGCGTTCAGTAGTTCAGACGGCGTCATGGATTTTGATAGTTTATCAGATATAGACAGCATTGCATTATCATTTGTGTTGGACATTATCGGTGAACTAAATAAAGAGGAAGCTGGAGAGGCACAACACAAATGTTCTGATAAGTTCGTCCCAGTTAAGGACTTGATACTTGTAGATTCCCACCTAACAATGTCTGGAATACAACGAGTCTGTAGTTCACTGGCCAATGCACACTCTCTTGTGTCTGAATTGATTATAGCAGGACCAGTCGTAAGAGATAAGATCACTGATACCGGTGTTGCCAGTCTATGTGAAGCTTTACAGCATCCAAGCTGTAAGCTAACCACACTAAATCTGTTGGCTAATGAGATCACTGATGCCAGTGTTGCCAGTCTATGTGAAGCTTTACAGCATCCAAGCTGCAAGCTAACCACACTAAATCTATGGTGTAATAACATCACTGATACCGGTGTTACCAGTCTATGTGAAGCTTTACAGCATCCAAGCTGTAAGCTAACCACACTAAATCTGAGAAATAATGACGTCACTGATACCGGTGTTGCCAGTCTATGTGAAGCGTTACAGAATCCAAGCTGTACGCTAACCAGACTAGATATTCGGAGTAGATTTGTTATTAGTGAGTTAAAAAAAAAAATCTGTCGAAGCCATAGTGGAGAAATACAGACCAGGTTTTGAACTTACAATTTACAAATATGGCTATTTAAAGCACTTTCTGTAAAAGTGGGCAGCAGCGTCAAACTAATCTACATCATTACCTTACAAGAGATCTCACAATTTATTTTAATGATCTTAATTTTAAGTTAAATCTTAAAAAAGGAACAGTTACGAAATGGTTGGAAACAAAATATTTTGAATCATTACTGATCATAGTAGTTCTTTATGGTAAAAGGCTGTCGTGAAAGCAGCTTGAAGCCTGAAAACGTTAATAGTTTTTGTGGACTTNATAATGGGCGCAGTTTTTAAGGTGCCTTGAAACTTACCCGATAAACAGCCTTTCCTCGTGTGTTCCTTGATTTTCTGCACCTCCTTCAATGCTTCCTCTGGTAAGATAGGCTTCCCTTTGCTGCTTTCAGCGTGTTTCCATTTCTTTAGAAACAATTCAGCATTATTTAAAAGAGCGTTTGGATCTGGAGTTTCTTTTAACCGCGTCTCCCCGAGGTCAGATAGATCTGTGAACATTAACTGTAGACCTCGTAAGCAATGAGAATAAAACGGGTGGCGCTTTGATAACTTGGTACTAACTCGATGAAAAGCATGGAAAATATCTAGTTTTACAACAAGATTTGCCCCAAAAACCTCTTGTAACTTCTTTTTCCAGTGACAGCAGTTCTCAATATAAAATTCCTTAACAATTTTTCCTTGGCTAGATATTCTCCAAAACAGTTTTTGTAGAAGGAGACGGGTGTTTTGAAAACCTTTCGTTTGAGTTAGTTGCCATGTCACAATTTGTACTTTTTTGTTCATAACGCAAAATAATGAACTGTATTGTCGAATCCACTTTTTATCTTCTCTTCTCTCATATCCAATCCTGCCAGTTATATCGAAAGTGTGATCGCAACACAGCCATTCTTCGTCACCTGAGGTTGATGTCATACCTTTTATAAACAAATTCTCATTCAAATTCTCCTCCGGTCCTCTGTTCCCACTGTTCCCCTGGTCCTCTGTTCCCACTGTTTCCCTGGTCCTCTGTTCCCACTGTTCCCCTGGTCCTCTGTGCCCACTGTTCCCTTGGTCCTCTGTTCCCACTGTTCCCCTGGTCCTCTGTTCCCACTGTTTCCCTGGTCCTCTGTTCCCACTGTTCCCCTGGTCCTCTGTTCCGACTGGTCCTCTGTGTCCACTGTTCCTCTGGTCCTCTATACCCACTGTTGCACTGTTCCTCTACGCCCACTGTGCCCAGCCCCGCTGTTCCACTGGTCCTCTGTGCCCACTGTTTCCCTGGTCCTCTGTGCCCAATGCTACTCTGGTGTTCTGTACCTACTGTTCCACTGGTCCTCTGTACCCAGTGTTCCACTGTTCCTACTATTTATTTAATCACTTTCACCAGAGCGTGGTGAGGGTCGCACAACAGAGCGAGGCTCCAAATTAAGTGCGCCCTATATCCCACCCATCCCACCCCAGGGGAGGACATCCATCACACAGTAATCTCGTGTGTGGGAAATTAACGTCTCCTACCCCAACCCTGCAGGAGACGGGACCTCCATTTATTCGTCCCTATCCGAGAAGACTAGAATATCTAACCATTTCTTGATGTTATAGAAAGGTAGCAAATTCTTCTCAATTATTTTAAGACCCTGAGTGTTGGTCCGGCCGGGGCTCGAACCCTCGACCTCCCGCACAACAGTCCAGCGCTCTATCCATTGAGCTAACCNAACGCCATGTTGACCACCAGAAACAAATATTTCTTGCGGATATTTTTGTTCTTCGCAAAAAGAATTAAGGTCAACAAGTTTCCGACGAAAACTAGAATGAATGTCAG